AAACAAGTTTATAGGTTCAAAAACAACTTATGGTAATGTTCCTAGTCCATTTCCAGCTAAAAAATTCGAAGATATGCTGTCAGGGGGTCCAACTCGTCGAGTGCATGAACCAACTCGGCGAGTTGGATGAGTTTTGCCTTGGACTCGTCGAGTCCCTTCATGGACTCGGCGAGTCTGCTGTGCAGATAGCACCAAACTTCGATTTTTCAGCCATTTTTGCAAGTATAACAAGAAAACAAGTCTAGGCTCTGATACCACTGTTGGGTTTTGAGCATTCTAACACTCCTAAGTGTACATACAACCCTAAATACCTTGGATCTATGTTTTCTCTATTATACATGCAAATATGAATATTCCAAGGTATTACCCTATCTAGCATACAATCTTTGATACTTGGGTAATAAAAACAAGTTTGAAGACATACCTTTTTATGTAGCTTGATTCCTTGATGCTTAAGAACCGAGTGCCCCAAGTGTGACACCTCAAATGGTTCACACAACATCAAATACACTTGGAATAACTTAGAGAGAAATGAACCACTTCATGAAATCGGCTAGCCCTCACCATACACACATAGTTCTCTCATGGTTGCCGATTTTGACAAGAATAAGATGCTTATATAGTTTGTCACAATTAGGGTTACACCATGTAAACCCTAATTGTCATGGCCTTTCATTTCCATGATCCATGGGTACAAAAACACCATGGAGCATCCTATGGGTTTTATCCCAACTTGATAATCCATGGAGCATTAGCCCACTATACAAGTATGGATGATTTACACAATCAACCCATATATTTAATTAGTCTCCTTTTGATCACTTAATTAATTTCAAATTAATTCTTGATCAATACTAATTAAATAATCTTATTAATATATTAGTAAACCTTAAGTGTTATTTCTCTCATTTTAGTCTATCCAAATGCATGATGGCATGCAACCCAAATGGACCATGCCAATCAAGTCAAGTACATACGAAATATAGTTATGGACTTAGACACTAATCCAACACATACATAACGCTGGACCCTATAGACTTTCGAATATCCAATCCTACCCTAAGCCCTAATCAATAAGAACAGAACATAAGGCCAGATCAAACATTCTCAGGCTATAAGATCTTAATGATGTACAACTGTGATGCATACACAAGTAACTACAGTAATGATGTCAATCTCATATAAGGAAAACCCTAGGCTAACAGGCATCATGTAATCAGGAAATTCTATCATGCAATTCATGAATATCCCTAGCCTAGTACTAGCATGATGTTCTAACATATCACAATATCAAATAATCGTATGGTATTTTGGGGTCTACTTACTGGCTCCGGCTGATCGTACACTTCGCATCCTCTTCTACTTATTTTGAAAACCATTCAAAATTATTTTGAAAATCTTTCCTTGATTTGAGACTGGATTCACACGAGTGTTCCTCCAATTCACTCAAACCAAGGCTCTGATACCAACTTGTAACACCCATAAAATTTGAGCAAATTTAAAACTTTTTAAATCATTTGAAACCATTCAATTATTACAATTTGTTTTCAAAATAGTTTATACATCTGAGTTCCCAGAAATCATAATCGTCAATCGAGGAAGTGTACGGTCACGCCTTCGACTACCCACGACCATCCGCTGAACCTGAAACAATAAACTGAAACTGTAAGCCCGAAAGCTTAGTGAGTTACCCCCAAAATACCAACCTCATATAACCATAATCATATCATATCAACAAATACAGAACAACATGCATAATGAGCCTTCAGCCTGACTGGACCGCCTCGCAGGGCCTACAGCCTATCTGGACCGCTCACGAGCCTCCGGCATGACTAGACCGCCTCGCAGGGCCTACAGCCTATCCGGACCGCTCACCGGGTATGTTGGCCTACAGCACAAAGCAGGACCGCCTCAACCCAACCCCCAATCAAACAAACATGTGCACATAAATATCATACGCTAGTTCATATCATATGACAGTCAAACCGATCTAACATATCACTACTCATACCAACATCCCAATAACCAGGATACAGACCTAACCGAACACTAACATAGCATCATCCTATAACCAGGAAAATCATGTGCACATGGATATCATATAACACTAGCATGTATATATATATATATATATATATATATATATATATATATATATATAACAGTCAAACCGATCTAACAGATCACAAAGCATAGCAACAATCCTATAACCAGGATATCGACCTAACAGATCACTAACATAGCATCATCCTATATACCAGGATACCGACCCAACCGGGTCACTAAAGCATAGCATATCACCATCCTAACTACCAGGATGTAAATCAGTAAGCATAACATGCAATAATCCAAATACAATCCATAAAGGGTCGGCCTTGGTGCCTTAGACCCTGTTGATATAGTGAGGATAACTCACCTTGCAATGCCGGACTGAACCACGAAATCACGCTCCCGAAACACTGCCCCAAACTCCAACACCTATAACCATCAATGATCCAATTCATAAATACCCGTTTACCAATTATCCTCAAAAGTCAAAACGGTCAACCCTTGGTCAAAGTCAAAGTCAACTATCAAGGTCAACAGTTCATGTTGACCTCAACTCGTCGAGTACCCTCAGCTACTCGCCGAGTTCCTTGCATAACTTGCCAACTCGCCGAGCCACCATGCCACTCGTCGAGCCCAAGGCAATCTTCATCGGACTCACCGAGTTGTTCATCCAACCCGTCGAGTTCATGACCATCTTCATATGACTCGCCGAGTCTACCATGCGACTCGCCGAGTCCCTTCAGTCCTTCATCCATACAGATGCTTTTAAGCCATGCTAAGGCTCCATACTGCAGATCCAACTTCCCAAGGCATGCTTATCACGTAAAGTTGCAAACTTTACGTGCATGCAAGGCTCTAATGACTCATAATGCCAAAACCAAGCTTGAAATGGGGTTTTACACTTAAGGAGGGGTTCATACTTGCCAATGCTGATAGCTTTATGGACTTACAAATCAAAGAGAGTCCAGATCTGAAGTTACAACTTCAGATCTGAGCTCACACCCAAGAATAGCTTCATAACCAAGCCAAGAAGCCCTAAACTTCATCCAAAGAGATCTAGAAAGGAATGATGCCAAGATCATGAATTGATACCTCAAATGAAGCTAGTTGAGATAGACTTCAGACCCACAAACGTTCTTGCCTCCAACTTCTTGATCTTCAAGCTTCTTGCATCAAGGTCTTCTTTCCAAGCTTGAAATTTACACTAATATGGAGCACACACACAAATTAGGGTTTCTAGACTCTCAAGAGGCTGCAAGGGACTAAGGGAGGCTAATGATCCCTTAAATAGGGTGCCAAACCCCGGAAATTAGGGTTTCACCCTCCAGCTCCAACTCGTCGAGTCACTCTTCCGACTCGACGAGTTGGTCACTTAAACACGTGGCCCAAACCCGCTGCTACTCGACGAGTCAGGCAACCAACTCGTCGAGTAGATCTTGAATTCAAGAGAATTTATAACCATAAATTGGTATTCGAGAATCGGGGCGTTACAATTCTAATACGCTGGGCATACTCTCCAGCATGTCATTTTGGGCCTTTTAAGGTTTGGGCCTTGTTGGGTCATTGGACTTTTGACTTTAGGCTGTGATTTGACTGTGGGCCTTTTTGGTATTGGTCCCATGATAGTTCTTAGGCCCAATTAGGAGGTTGGGTCATATTGGACCTTAGGTTGTCATTTAGGAAATTGGGCTTTTTGGAGCAAATGAGTTGGGCCCAGGTTTTGGGCCAAGTAAGGAAAGGGTAAAATGGTCTTTTATCCTGGTTATGGATTAAGTGGCTTTGATTATTGTTTTGGGTCGAGATCTAATTATTAATTGGGCAAATATTTGATGGTGCTAGCGCGCAGGGATTTCCGGATCAGCAGACTGTGGATTTATTGAAAGATTCAGCGTCTTGAGGTGAGTTTCTTCACCGTGTCTAGCGGGTCGAAGGCACCAATGTATGTGTGACTCTCGCATGTGTTATGTGTTTGCATGTTTATCGAGCAGAGCCCGATCCGAGCGGGGCCTGATGATGCTGGGCGAGGGCCCGATGACCATTCTGTATGCTATCTATCTTTGAGATCATTGCATATGTTATGTGTTTGCATGTTTACCGGGCGGGGCCTGATGTTTGTGCGGGGGCCCGATGACCATTCTGTAGGCTATTTATCTTTGTGATTATTTCATGTGTATGTGTTTATATGCTTATATGTTTATATGTCTACCGGGCTGGGCCCGATGCCGGACGGGACCCAATGACTGACAGATTTGTATACCGAGCGGGGCTCGATGACGGGCAAGGCCCAGTATTTGTTAAAGATATTAAACTTGTTGAATTGTTTGAACTTAGGATAGTTATGTGATGATTGATGTGGTTATGCCGTTATATAAAAATTTTGAACTTTGTGGTAATCTTATCTTTTCCGGTTAATAAAAACGATTATAGCATATAACCAAACGTTTTTCTTTATTCTTATAGACTCCTTGTGGATTTTTTTTTTTTTTTTTTAATTGGAATGAAGAAGTATGCCATATTAACTTGAATTTATTTACATAATTCAAACTGCTAAATATGTAGCTGATCATTTTAATGCCCTACCCGAAGAATATTCCTAAATCCATCACCGGAGATTTACTACTGTGACAAACATTGTATATCAGTAAATTACATAAATATTTCCACAACCGTTGAACCACTCGAACCCAAAATGAAATTATTAAGCTTGGTTTGTTGAAAATATTTAAGGGTGCTTAAATGCAAATAGTTCTGAACTTTATGGGAGTATATTGTAAATTTTCCATGATTTTGTCAAAATAACTAGAGAAAGGAAGATACAACGCCTGTATGTGCGCGACTCCTTTACATCATCACATCACATCTCTCGTCTTCCGCCATCGCTGCCGCAGCCAACGCCGCCACCACCACCGTTACAAATACAACCACCACCCAATCTCTCACTCAAACACGAAATGAAGAATTCTCTCTCTTCATCTCAATCCCTTTTCCATCTGTTACTGATCTGTATCTTCATCATCACCATTACTTCATCCACCACCTTCTCGGAAACCTCCACCATCACATATCACCCCAACCGCCGCCACCAACTCCATTATCACAATTCTTGCATCACCATCTCCAGAAAAGAACACCCCAAGCCTCTATGTAAGTCTCGTTGCCCTCCGCCTCTCCCTCCACTGCTACACCGGCATCCACAAGTACAACCGCCACCACCACCGCCGCCGCCAATCAATGAAGAAATCGATCCAAGATACGGTGTTTCGAAAAGATTGGTCCCTTCTGGACCCAACCCACTCCATAATTGACAAAACCCATTTCTTTCCACCGTCTAATTCAAGATTCTCTCCATCATTTCTTCATAATTTCTTGAACCCCATGATCAAAAGCAATATCACAGTTATTTTGTTTTCCCGGCCACCCATATTCGTTCTTTCCGGCATCTATTACTATTCCAGTCCATGTTTTCGAATTGGTAGTCTGTTAAAGGAGATGCAAACATGAAGGAGCGTGTGGCTATGACATTTTGACCTAACTAGAAGAAGCAAAAACAAGCATGGAAATAGTCAAGATTTACTTCGTAGTAGTACTGTTAGCTATATTAGTTGTACCTTTGTTTTTTGTAGGAAGAACTGGAAGTACTTGGTATCAAGAGAAGCCCATGACTTGCATTAAAGTTTGAAGGTTCCATGAGGAAGATGGTAATGCTGAGGGTAAAATTGTCTTTTTGTATGGTTATTTGCCAAATCTATGTTAAACATGTTCATGTAAATAGTTACTATGCTAGCTAGTGAATGAATGATGATTGAATGAAGTTTTTTTAGATGAATTTTCTGTTTTGCCCTTGAAACACTTAGTTAATTTTATGCCAATTAATATATGGGGTATGAATTTATTGAGAGGTCATGAAATCCATGATCCTTTCAAATCACAAATGTACTCACTCACTGTCTTCAAATATAAAAGTTCGAAACAGTAAGATGCAGAGTAACACGGGTATCTTTGTATATACCTTTAAAAAAATCAAGTTTTATCGCGAAGCTTTTGGAAGCATTTAAGAGTTTCTAGCTTTTAGCTTTTGACAAAACGTTCTATTTTAAACAAAAAAACTTCGTTTGACAGTACGAGCGTTTATCTTTTAGTTTAAACAAAACGCTCCAAATCTAAAAGTTATTTCATGTAGCGTTTAACAAAACGCTACTGAGCTTTTGAAATCAATTTCCATAATTACCTTTAAAAATATATTTATATATTTATTTATTTTTAATCAATTGTCTTTTTATGTAATTTTATATATTTCAAAAGCTTCTGGCTGCTTTTGTCAAACACTCATATAACAAATAAAAGCTACAGCTTTCCGTTACCAGCTATCTGCTACACGCTATCCGTTACCCGCTTCCATCTAACAACTATTTTTGCCAAACACGCTATTTTGAAAGTGAAATAGTTTTTTTTTTCTCTAAATTTGTTCGGGCAACAAATTTGGTCATTATAATGTGACCAAAGAGAGTTTGACCAAATGATATCAAATCGCCAAAATGATTGTTACTTGTGAGATTATGATAAGGTCTATTTATTCAAGCCTTTCTTTAATTAACTTCTTTAATTTTCAAATTTGCTTGTTTTTGTTTTTATTTTTCATTTGTAGAACATTTCTAGGGCATCGCTATCGTACATTATTTTCTTTCCGTCACATCTTGTATAATTATCAAATAAAAACTTATTAACCTAAATCTTCACAAACCATTAACTATTTTTTTTAATTAACTAATACATTTAAAAACAATCTATTCATATATCTTCATAAAAAATATATATAACAAAAAGTAAATTATTTAAGGTCAAAGTTGAACAAAGAGACTTAAAAAGTCAAACGTAGACAATAATTTTAGGACGGAGAGAGTATATAATTATAGTATGCTAGAAAATTGTGTAGGATTTATAGTGGAGATCTGGATACCCTTTAGATCGTGTAAACCAGTGGTGGAGCTACATGGGGCGGTGGGGGTACTTCAGCATCCTCAAAAAAATTGTTTTATATATATATAATTAATAATTTGTAAACATGTTCTATGTTACTGTACCCCAACTAAAGAGATTGTACCATGTTTTTTTAATGTACGAGATATGATAACTACATAAAATATATCTTGACAATGTTTGTACCCCCGTATCAAAATTCTTGGCTCCGTTACTGGTGTAAACACTTTCCGAACTGATATTTTTACCATATGCCCGGGTTACAAGAAATTTAGTCTATGATAATCCCAAGGAGATACTTACTAATCTAGGCACAGAAAACGTAAGTCAAATTACTAGAAGATTCTAACTTTGTATGAAGAAAAACGAAAACTAAAAAGGTGATAGTTTCTCCTGTAGAGGAGAGTCGTTTATATAGGAAACAAGATGTAGGGTTTCATCTTAGGGTTGGTCGTCATGAGTTTATTTGGAAACAAGTAAAGGGAATCTGGAATTAACGAGGAAATCAATGGTTTCCAAAACTGACGATCTTAGTGAGTTTTACCATATTCCCCTTCAAGAATTCTATCCACTTGTAAAATTCTATTTTTCATCTTAGGGTTGACAATCATGCGACCCCAGCCATGGGCTCTGCCCCTTGGACCTCACTAGGGGCGCTGCCCCCCGACCCCCGACTTGTCTTCGAACCGACTTCTAATTCGATCTTATATATGTGTGTACTCCGCAAAAACTCAAACATATATTATAGTACAAATTACGAAGCCTCTTAGCTCACATGTAAGTTTCAATTACACAAAATGACCTGATAACATTAAAATCACCAACATGGTATTTATAAGGAAAGTATTATAAAACTTCATTATCTAGTTTATCATTTTTAACACAAATATCAATATTTTAAAATAAAATATTACACCACAAAAACATTTAATTAAAATAATATATTTATATTATAGAAATTTTGACAATTAAATTAAACGAAAGGCATATATAACAACACACGACATACAATGACCAAAAATATTTATATGACGACGAGTTTTTATAAAAACATGATGTCACAAAAAATCAAAACAAAAAAATATTACTTTATCAGAGATTTTTCCCAAAAATATGAAAGATGATAAATATTATGTCTCTAATTATAAAAAAATACTAAAAATATTATATTAGTTGTTTTAAAAAACTTGGTACATCTATAGTGGTACCACAACATTTGCATGAAAGAGTATGTGTGATCATAATAGGAAAAACTGCAGTGGTATTATAGCAATGTAAGTGAGCGTAAGACTATGATGATATCATAACACTCACATGCGTATGTGATATTTTAGGGAACTCACTAAGGTTTATGTTTACTATTTAAGTTTAAAATGTTTCAGGTTGTTATGACATCAAGGGGAATGGAGCAACTTGATTGCATTGCATCCATAGATATATTTTGACGATTTTTGCACTCTTGATTTTATTATGACTATGACTATAATTTGATAATGGTTGAAACAAATAGTTGTTTACTTATCTGAGAATGAAATTTGTATGATTTTCTTTAAATGTAAAATAAAAATTTTGGGTTGAAGTTTGGAATGTTACACGATATGAACTATAACTCATTTTCATTAATGAAGATGTCATATATACGAAACACAAACAATGTATGAGTAGTTCGTTGTCATCCCACAATGATCAGTTAAACATTCTACCATGACAAAAGTTAGCCTAATTGGTAAAATAAACCGATATTAACATATAATTGTAAAAGGAAAGTAAACTTTAGGAATTTTTTTATTTTTTTATTAATTTCTGAATCCGTAAATTCTAAAATGAAAGAAACAATAAACTAAAGTAAAGGGGAGTTGAGTAATTTAACCATATGTAATTTGTATTTAAGCAAAATAAGCAATTTTTTTGGCAAAACAACCATCAAGTCTGCTGTAGGGTATTTCGGACTAAAAAAAAACTTTGAAGAACAAATATGAAATCTGATGAAAAATTCCAAAATTTGAGAAAAAAATATTGTTTTCTACTAAAATTTAACCAAAAGTTTGACAAACATTACAAATATGAAATATATATAGTGACATTAAACATTTGAAATTTGAAATGACATTCGAATATAAATCTAAAGATTTATTTGAAAAAAAAAATGCAAAAAAGAAAAAATCTCCATAGTCCATATCCATACCATCAATTTGAAAAAAAAATGTATTAAAATAGTTATTTTTGTTAAATAGTTTATTAAAAATTTAGAATGATTAGTTTAAATTAAAATAAAGGAAAGGAGAGAAAATTGAGTTTAAGGATCCGCCGACGATAACATGCCAAGTTTACGCGTTGTCTCATTCCTGAAAATCTCCCACTCCCTCTTAGATCTTACTCGGATACACAGTCTTTGATCTGTATTCCTATCTACTTGATGTATAGTTATATACACTCAGACATACAAATTACAGACGCATGTTGATTTGAAATTCGAAAGCAAAAAAGGATTCTAAATCGACATCAACAATGTTGCGTCCCGGAGTATCTACAGGATTTTCATCGATCATATTACTTTTTTGCCTTCTCAGCGTTTCTGTGCACTGCAAAACCCTAAAAAGAGACGGTAAGTTGTTTATCATTTTCCGGGACACATGGTCATATATCATATATGGTATTGTCTATGCTCTGTATTCCGAAGATGCACGAATGTCTATGAATTTAGCACGAGTATCTGTGAATTTGTTGCTTATTCCGACTTTCTTCAATTGCTCTTAGATCTCACTATTTTAGGGAAATTCGGAATAGTTTGTTTAAAATTTTGGATGATTACTTGGTGATTTAAAGTTTAAACTGATCTTGATCCAATCATGCTTTTAAGCTACGAAATTAAACGCCATAACTTCAATAAACTGAAAGTTGGTTTTATCTCTTGACATTCCTCTAGAAACTGTTGTACTGGTGTCTTGATTCTTCCTTCATTTGGTTCTAGGAACTCTGATAATTGTTTTTTTGATGTGTTATTGTTTATTAATGAGAATCTGATCTGAAAGTAATGAAAATCGATGCATGATTCATCTGTGTTCTTGAGGGAAATAATAAAATCTTTCATCACTTGCAGTGAAAGCTCTTAACGAAATTAAAGCATCTCTTGGATGGAGAGTGGTGTATGCATGGGTTGGAGATGATCCATGTGGAGATGGTGATTTACCAGCTTGGTCTGGTGTCACATGCTCCACACAAGGTGATTATAGAGTAGTTACTGAACTGTAAGTGTTACTTCATCATGTATATGTCCTTGAATCTTGAAATTGTGGATCCAATCTGATATTTTCTAACATTATATAATCATTTCAGGGAAGTATATGCAGTTTCAATTGTGGGACCCTTTCCTACTGCAGTAACCAATCTACTGGATCTTACTAGACTGTACAAATCTCTATCCTAATAACTTACTGCTCTTCTTTTTGTTTCTTTATTGTTCAATAATGCAAATTTACTTTGTTTGGATATGTATTTTTATCTTACTTACTTTTTGTTTTCAGGGATCTTCACAACAATAAGTTGACTGGTCCAATCCCACCACAAATCGGGCGTTTAAAGCGACTTAAAATAATGTATTATTCTTCTCTAAATACTTTATATCACTAATCTGTGGTGCTTCTGCTTCTGCTTCTGCATATAGCTAGTGAAATAAACATTAAATATTCCCAAATACATGATCTTAGAACTCATTTTTGGTGATGGGTGTTGTTTCTTTGTAGTAATCTGAGGTGGAATAAGCTGCAGGATGTCATTCCTCCTGAAATAGGTGAACTAAAGAAATTAACACACCTGTGAGTGTTTTCTACTTTTCTTTACCCTTTTTTGGATATATGCTTTATGAGATGAACATCTGATTCGATTCTTTACCTATATGACTACAGCTACTTAAGTTTCAATAGCTTTAAAGGGGAAATACCAAGGGAGCTTGCTAATCTTCCAGAACTGCAGCATCTTCATCTGCATCAAAATCGGTTAATTGGGCGTATTCCACCTGAATTGGGGTCTTTACAAAATCTTCGCCATTTGTAATGTTCATCTTTTTTCATTACCACTTTATCTGTTCATCTTACAAATGTGAATTATTCTGATGATGATTGTGTTTGTGATTTGTAGGGATGTTGGTGATAATCATTTGGTTGGAACTATTAGGGAACTGATACGTATAGATGGATGTTTTCCAGCTCTTCGCAATCTGTATGTTTAATCTCATTAACTTATATTTATAATGCATAATTACTATTTTGAAGATATTATTTATATTTACACTCCTACTATGATTTTCAGATATCTAAATAACAACTATCTGACTGGAGGTATTCCAACTCAGCTTGAAAACTTGACCAATCTGGAAATTCTGTGAGTATTGAATGTTCATACCTTTTTTCATAAACTAAAAGTATCTTTTAAAACAAATTGTAATGTATATTGTGTTGTTTTTTTTTTCAGGCATTTATCTTACAACAAAATGTCTGGGATAGTTCCATTTGGACCTGCTCATATTTCAAAATTGACCTACTTGTAAGTATATACTCCTTTTTCTTCTTTAACTTATATCTGAAAAGTGTAATAATTCCTATAAATTTCCAAATTTCAGGTATCTGGATCACAATCAATTTAGTGGAAGGATTCCTGATGCCTTCTACAAGCATCCTTATCTGAAAGAATTGTAAGCTTACTCTTTTTTCATTCCTTCATTTCAAGATTATGCACGAGTGCTGTCTAATATTCAAAAAAATATTTGGTAAAATTGAAAATAAGTACACCAAAATTGGTATTATTAGTGAAAGAGTGTAAGTATGTAGTTATTATGGATAAAGAAATGTATATTATGGGTAAAAAAAAGTATATTGCCAATATTGTTAAAAGAGTAAAGTACATTTCTATTTTTTGCAATTTATTTATAAGTAAGATAGAAGCACTTGTATTGACATAGTATGGTATATGTTGTAGGTACATTGAAAGGAAATGCATTTAAGCCAGGGGTGAACCCGATTGGTGTTCACAAAGTACTTGAACTTTCAGACTCGGACTTCTTGTTTTAATCAATTTGATTACACGATTTTTGTCTAGTTATTACTTAGTTTACGAAGTGGGCCCCATGAAATCAAGCATTAATCGGGTGATTTTCCTTTGATGATAAAAATATTTTATAGCTGTGATTGTTTAATCTTTTGTATACGTGTTAAAACTCGCAAGTTCCAAAGGAACTTAATTGTATAGAATATAGTATTATCTGTTCGTATGAGTTTTAAGGCTTCCATCACTGCTTTATACGATGTGACATCCCCTAATTTCTCGGCCAGAAAAGACCGATTTAATTTATGTTTTTTAAAATAAAATCAGAGAAATCCTTTTAAAAGATGTTGCGGAATTGGTCCCCAAAACAAAACATGATAAAAGTTTATCAAAGCCTTTCTTTAAGAAATATATAATTTCATTTTATATCAAAACCTAGGGATGTCATGTTCTGATACAGAAGCATAAACAAAACATTATAAGCCTTACATCAGTTATTTACAACTACTGACCTATAATCCAAAAATCTATCAGCATTCTCCGACTATGTTCGGGGTCCACTACCTGTAATAATAAAAAGCTAAGTGGGTCAGACTTGGGAGCCTGGTGAACATATAGGGTTTTCAACCCACAATAATAATAAACTTATTAAGTTCATCAGTCAACAATAACCCTGATTACCCATTCTCGTTATCCTCACTTTACGTCCCTAAACACCTATCACAAGGGACCTAGCCTAAAAGAATATCATCGGGATGGACCTAGCCTAAAGAATATCATTAACACCTACAGGTTGCGAGCCTGCCAGCGTTCCACTGGACTGTCTAGAAAAGTCTGTGGTCGTCATCCATACTCCGCTAGATGACTGGATCACAATCACATCGAGGCCTATCATCATTTTATTTCATCACACTTCAACTATCTACCCATGTTTTACCCAACATATTTGTAGATAAAAATACATATACAGTTTAAAACTTGTATAAAACATATATTCAACAGTCACCTCAATTAAACAATTAATATAATTACACATAGCACGTATTTTATAGAAAATACTTCATATCTAGGCGTAAGATGAAGGTGACTACACACTCACCTGATTTAATGATAATCGGGCAACACTTCGTTTCCTAAAACAATCGTTTCTAATAAAACCGGGAGTTTTATTGAGAAATCGGGCTCTACGATGGTCGGGCTTCAAAGCTGAAAAGATAAATTTATCGGGCTTCTCGGGCACTTCGGGGCGTATTTCGGGTGTTTGGTATAATATCGGGGCTTTGAGGGAAGTTGGAATGAAAGAAATATTGTTTAAGGGGGTTAAAAATGACAAGTTTCCAAATTATCCCCGGGAGGTCTCGCACCCTTCTATTTATAGGGGCAAGGCTTCTGATCGGACGGCTGAGAGGCTACCAGGTGGCAGCAGATCCGAAGAGGAAGCACATGGCTCGCACGTGCGAGGGTCCTGGTGTAGCCTTCTGATTGGACCGAGGTCTAGGTCCGAGGGTTCGGTCGTGGCGCTATGTGCGAAGCTCGGACACGTCAAGCAAGGGCACGCGCCGGACTCTCGGCTGCACAGCGCATCGATGACTAAGCTCCTTCGGACACGAGGCGACACGCGGACTGCTTCGGTTGGACCTCCCTTCGGTCGAATCAGCAGCGAGCACGTGGCATGCATGCGAGATTCCGGGTGACGTGGCCGAACACCAGCCATGCGAAATTCCTCGGTTTTAGCATTTTTTTCTCGCTTTTTGTGCTAAAACTTATAAAATCCATAACTTTCGCATACGAGCTCCGTTCTTGACGTTCTTTATATGCACGCGTAGGTAAAAATTACGCTCTACAACTTTCGTTTAGACTTTGTTGGCTAATTTTGACTTTAATTTTAATATTATTATTTTTAACAGACCGGGACAGGAAATCCGTTAAAAATTCATAACTTCTTCATCCGACGTCCGTTTTCGTCTGTCTTTTTACCATTGTACTACTATTGACGAGACATTCGATTCTCGTTTAGGTTGTATTGGCTAAAAATCACTCGATCTAAAATTCGAGTTTTTAGCTGTCTACTGCTAAGCTGAAACTTAGAAAAATCATAACTTCCTCATACGAAGTCAGATTTGGGCATTCTTTTTATACATACTCTCGGTTTAACGAACACTACAACTTTCGTTTAGATCACTAAGGCTAAAAAGTAGTTTATCAAAAACTCACTTTTTACGTCATTCGGCACCGTGCCGGTTTTGTCGCGAAACTTCGACAGGTCATAACTTCTTCGTTATAACTCGGATTTCGGTATTCTTTATATATCCGTAATCCTTGTCACGACCACTACAACTTTCTTAATAGATATCGGCTTTATCTAATATTTATTTTCGACGCTCATTTTTATTCTTAATTAATTAAACCCTAATAATTAAGCATAAAACACATAATATTCACATAATTCCTTTTCATTTATTCAAAATGAGTTACAAAGGTTAACCTAAACTATTACGTCAATATTAATGCCTAGCCTAGAAACACGGGCGTTACAGGCGAAACTAAAACTATAGTTTCTTAAAAAAAAAACAGCAGGGGCCAAAGCGTATATCTTATATATATATAAATTAGTAGGAAAACCTAATTATAAGCCAAAAAACTGGGTCACTTTTGCCACAAGAGATGCATAACATGCCACTTTGAGGGGGTGGGTCAACTTAGTAAAATAAATAAATAAGCATTCACATGGACATTCTCTCTCGTCTCTCTATCCCCTTTCTCATCGACACAAACATGTCATTTGAATTTGACATTCTTTCATGCCATGTTTGATGTTTGAGGGGTGATATATGCCACTCATGCCATGCAAATGCCAAGCAAATGACACCCCACTTCCCAAGCCTAAAATACAAAGTTTAACTTGATATATAGTTCCATTTTTTAATCAAGAATTAAATATACAAAACCACTAACCCCACCGTTAAAAAAAATACAAAATCATTCTCAACTATATAAAAAAATAATCGAAAACTAGTATTAATTATTGATTAACAAGTTACAATCAAATTTGAAAGCATAAAAAAACAATAGCATCTTTTCTGCTACTATAAATTATAAACCCTCTCTTAGGCCATGGGGTATGGGGACACGCCAATCAACTCCACGGTGTTGGTGTGAATGCAACGAGAAGAAGAGAAGAACGGAGAAAAAAAAGAGTTGAGGCTATCCGGAATGGTGGGCAAAGAGACGCGTGATTTTCGAAACGGCAGCCCAAAACACGCGTGAACACCGCCTCATGGACCAGTGGCTTGACTGTGGTGAACACCATTTCCACAATCTAATGGATTGGTTAAATAATGACCTGACTTCCTCTTCACTCACAAACCATTCGTGAGGATACCCCAAAGCCTGATTTGTTGTGGTTTCTAGTGGTATACACCACATGAGACAACGATATTCCAGCTCATTACCACAAGACACTCATGCAGTGTATACCCATGACTTTAGAGGACATATGACATATTACTATCATTGTTTTCTCACAACAATGATATATCGTGCCGTATAATGAGTGATTTATTTCCATCTTATCACACTTTTTTTACATAAAAAATATATTATAATTATACTTTTTGTAACTTAGGGGATGTTTGGTGGACTCTTAATTGTAAAATTAAGAGGCAACCTCTTAATTCTTCAGATTCAGTGTGTTTTGGTTACCTATTAATAAAAGCCTCTTAATCTTTTAAAAGCCTAGAGCCTCGTTCCCGAGTTTAACAAAAGAAAAGAAGAGAAGAGAACAGAAAGTCATGAGAGAAAAGAAGAGAAAGGAAAGGAAAACAAAATTTTCTTTTGTGTTTCCGAGTTGGAGAGAAGTGGAAGGAAAATGAATCATTTTGTTCTTTCTTTCTAAATCCTCCCAAATCGGAAGGAAAGTTAGGAGGGAAAGTATTCCTCCCATTTCTCTCCACTTCCTTCCACTTCCCTCCTTTAACGAAACTCGGAAACACCAATTCCTTTTATTTTCTTCTTATTTCCACCCATTTCCTTTCCTTTCTCTCGTTAAGTCGAACTCAGGAACGGGTGTAACCATCAGACTTGAATGGGTATCTGAATAAAAAGAGGAGACGCTCATTCCTCTTTTGCCCTCGTACGCATGGTTTCATAAAACACACACCCACCTTTCACTCGATCATCTTTCTGGTCTTCTCCCTCCTCCGACCAACTTCAGCGCCTCCCACCTCCTCCCATCGTCGACCTCGCACAGCACCGTCGCACCCATCGTCGCCTCGCCAAGTTACGACCACCGACGCCAAGCTCTCTGACAGCGCCGGCAGGACCCAACCACCATCTGGAAAAGAAGAAACCCAGGCGACTTTTTCTATAACATACGACTCTTTTCATTTGAATTTCAAGTTTGTGAGTAATTGGTCAGTCGACTCTTTTCATTTGAATTTCAAGCTTCTGGGCCATTTTCTTCTCTGTGATTCGTCTTCTTGATAGACATGGCAGAGTCGACATGTCTCCTGCATTCTCTACCTTAACCCAACAGCCATGTAAGTCTCGATTGATTTCTTGTTGTACCAAGTGTTTGTCAAAGTGCTCCAGTGAGTTGAATTTTACTGAAAATATTTTGTGAACTTTTCTGGGTACTCGACAGATTTCTTATTGTAGAATGTTAGGAGTGAGTTATTGACTACAAAGTGTTTGTAGAAATGCTCCAATGAGTTGAACTTCACTAAAAGCATACTCTCAACAGTTTTCTTACACTCAATTGGAGTGTTTCTTTAATCTGAAATGATAAATCTGGTAAAATTACTTGTTTAAAGAAGAACCATGTACATGTTCTTGGAGATTCAATCTCTTTTGGGAGGTTCACATCGGAGTCATTAGCTTGGGAAAAACGGTCAACATTTTTTCATAAACGCTATGTTGAAGAAGACAAGAGTTATGCCCAATCTGTATTTTAAATTTATGAACATATAAAGTGGTTTAAATGTTGGTAAAATGTTTATATGTAAATGTGGATTTCTTCAGCTCCTCTTTAGGTTTGTAATCCGTTCTTCAGAAATCCCTAATTTCTCTTTGATTTTTTTTTCCTGAAATCGATGATAAGGTCCCAATACTCTCCTCCAACTCTGATGAAATTTTGATGGGCTGATTTCTGTTGATATCTACTGAAAAGTTTATTGTTGAAATCAATAGTTCACGTAATTTGTTTATATGAAATCATTAGTTCGTTTGATTTTGTATTGATTGTTGTGGTTAATTTTCTGTTGATATGAAAGTGATAGAATGTTTGGTTGTTTCTTAGGTGTGCAGGGAGTAAAAATTCAAAGATATTTGGGTTCAATGGGAGGGACATGGATGCGCTTTATGGGCAATGTTGGATAGAGACAACATCACAAAGGTAGCCACAACAGTTTATTTCTTAACCAAGAATGCATTCATCCATATAGATTTTCAATGATACGACGTTTGTACTTATTAACTTTTTTTTTTCAGCCGCTTTATAAATGCATCATTGTCTCACAATACTATTTATTTAAAAAAATAAAATTACAATAGCCTTAAATATTTATTGTGTGGCAGGTGTTTGCTCGATGAAGATCGTGATCGCTAATGTCAACAACAACCAGAAGATGCCTCTGGCTGTTAGAAAAATGCAAGAACATGAAGCAACTAAAACAAGTTCATGGCCAAGCAATCACATGTGGCCTTGGAGATAATCACTATGCTTTAAGCAGGTTAATAGCTTTCTGTTCACAACCTCATCATCATGATAGCTTACCACACGGCTTAAACATCTTACAACACGTTCAAGAACCTTCTAATTGCTTATACAACACCATGATCAAAGCTTGTTTGCTTCGAAACGAATTAAACATGTCATTTCAATTATACAAACGCCTGCTTGAAAACGGTATGTATCCTGACAATTACACACTTCCTTACATCCTAAAAGCTTGTGCATACATGGAAAGTTTTCGTCTTGGAGAGCTAGTTCATGCGCATTGTTTGCAATTAGGGTTTATTTTCGATAGTTTTGTGGGTAATACCTTGATGATGATGTATTCTCTATTTGGTAACATGGAATCCGCACGTTACGTGTTTGATGAAATGCCAACTCACTGTGTTGTGTCATGGACTGTTTTAATTTCTGGGTATGCTAAAATCGGCAACATTGAGCTGGCTCGAATCGCATTCGATGAAGCACCCATTAAAGATAGAGGGATTTGGGGTTCTATAATTTCTGGATACGTTCAGAATAATTGTTTCAAAGAGGGTTTACAAATGTTCAGATTGATGCAATCAACCAGCATCATCCCTGATGAAGCTATATTCGTGAGCATACTTGGCGCTTGTGCTCATCTAGGAACTCTCGAAATTGGAATATGGATTCATAAACGAATCGACGCAATAAAATTACGACCTAGTGTGAAGTTAGCTACTGCATTGATGGACATGTATTGCAAATGTGGGAAGCTCGATGTTGCACACAAACTGTTCGATGAAATGCCTGAGAGAGATACAATTTGCTGGAATGTTATGATTTCAGGATTAGCAATTCATGGGGAAGGATTACGTGCTCTTAAACTCTTTTCACAAATGGAAATGACTAAAATTCAACCAGATGATGTCACCTTCATTGCCATTTTCACTGCTTGTAGCTATTCAGGCATGGAACACGAAGGTCTAAAGTTTTTCAACAAAATGTGCAAGGAATACAACATCAACCCAAAAACAGAACACTACATTTGCATAATCGATCTTCTTGCAAGAGCTGGTTTATTTAACGAAGCAAAAGACATAATTAATAAAATCCCAGATTCTTGTAGCCCTAAAGAAGTAGCGGTGGCTTGGCGAGCTTTCTTAAGTGCTTGTGAGAGTCATAAAGAGATTGAGTTTGCAAAAATGGCAGCTGAGAGATTGATGGAATTGGAAAATGATAGTGGCGTTTATGTAATTATGTCTAATTTGTATTCAAGTACTAATGATGTTGATAGCTTGCAAAAGACTAGAAAGATGATGAGAGCCCGTGGGGTCGATAAAGTACCTGGGTGTAGCTCGATTGAGGTCGGTGGTGTTGTTAATGAATTTGTTGCGGGTGAGAAAACAAATTATAAAATAGAGGAGATTCATGAAGTTTTGGAGAATATGAATCGACAGATGTATTGAGTGGAACAGGTTGTACTGTGTTTGGTGTGCTTTGGACTAAGACTCAGACTGATGTCAATGAAACAAAAACTGTATTTTTTTTTTTGTCTCAGTCAAGAAGATGAAACGTAGATGTTGAGCTTGTTATCTATTTCGTGATCTAGAGAGAGTTGTTTGATGATAAAAGTAACCGTGTTTGAGGAAACTGATTATTATTTTTTTTAGCAAAGTAAGATGAAAATTTGTACTTAAATAAGGAGAAAGCAAATTTATTCTTTTAGCAATGAGTTTCCATAATGGTGATAAGCTAAATGAGAAATGAGAATCTTTTACAATAAAGCAAAATAAAATTGCTACCATGTGCATTATTTGAAATTTGCACGTTGTTGATGCTTATAGGAAACGGATACAATAAGGATATTCCACCACCAAAGGTACAACATTTATAAATAATTTCAAATATTTTATTACTAAGTAGAAACATTAGTGTATGTATATTCATCGCTTTGATCTTTTGATAATATATGCGAATGAAAAGAAAATGTATTATAATTTTAAAGTAGAAATAACGCTTAAATTTATATTAACTAAGGGATAATGACTTAAAGGGTAATATATTTTTCGATTTGTACATATTTGGTCAATGGGTTTTTTTCGTTCATATTTACCCCTTCAACTTGTTAAACTGTACATATTCAGTCATTTATGACCGGTTACTCCAGGTTAACCGGGAAAAATGACTTAATATGGTAATATATTTTTCATTTTATACACATTTAGTCCTTAATATTTTTGTATATATATTTAGTCATTAATATTTTTGTACATATTTAGTTCTTAATATTCTTTTGTTTCAAAATAAGTTTTTTTTGTTTTTTGTACTCATTCAGTATTTATGAATGATTTATTTAGGTTTTTCTCACGACATCTTACGTGGAAAAATCACTGATGAGGTGTTTGGGGTTGTTGATGCTTATGTCCATCACGATCTGGACTGCTTGGTTGCGTAGGTCTTGTGGTTTGGCTTTGGTCTTATATTTCGAACGTCGTAACTTCTTCATACAATATCAGATTTTAACGATCTTTATATCCACGTGTTCGTTTTTTGAGCCTACTACATCTTTCGTTAAGATTACTCCCGTTAAAATGTAATATATTTTTACTTACGATTTTATAAAAAAAACATTCATACATGCATTCATAAAAAACATATGGATATATAAGTAAACATATATTACTTTTTAACGGGAGTAATCTAAATAAAAATTGTAGTAGACTAAAATATGAACGTATAGATATAAAGATCGTTAAAATCCAAGATCGTATGAAGAAGTTATGTCGTTTAGAACACATGACCTAAGCAACCAAGTAGTCGAGATCACGATGGACATAATCATGAAAAGCCCCAAACACCTCATTAATAAATGTCTCACGTAAGATGTCATGAGAAAAACCTAAAGAAATCATTCATAAGTACTGAATGAGTACAAAAATAAAAAGAGACTTATTTTGCAGCAAAAAAAATATTAAGGACTAAATGTATACAAAAATATTAAGGACTAAATGTGTATAAAGTGAGAAATATATTACCCTATTAAGTCTTTATTACCGGCTAACCTGGAGTAGCCGGTCATAAGGACTGAATGTGTACAGTTTAACAAGTTGAAGGGGTAAATGTGGACGAGAAAAACTCAGTGACCAAATGTATACAAATCGAAAAATATATTACCCTTTTAAGTCATTATCCTTATTAATTGAACATAGTTTATTGTATTAAAAGTCAAGTGGGCAACATGGACGACAATCTATGATGTCATATCTTTATCAACGAGCCCAAAATTTTTATGGGTTATATAATTTATAACCATATTTTCGAAAACAAAAGTGATAAGAGTATAGTTTAAGGGCTAAAATTAAATACAAAATTGGAGAGCGGAAGTGAAAGGGAGCACACTCGATAACGGTTGATCGTTAGCTTTGTGAAAATTCAAATCAAAAGGTGGTCATAAGCGAATAGGTACCAAAGTTGTCAAGATCAGGATCTAATATATGATCGTTTTCACTTTGTAAAATCATAATCATAAGATTGAATTGTGATCGTAAAATCCTAACAAATGCAATTTAAAACATAAAAAATACATATACATTCATCTGTTAACCATTTAATCGAACAATAAATAGTTTAAAACATGAAAAAAAAATACATCTCTAATGTATCATTTAACAATAAAACATTAAAAAAGAAGTTTTGTAGGATATATATTTCAGTCACTTAGGTAACCCAAAATAAAATATTATTTAAAAAAAAACTAAATAATAACAATATTACATCGATCTTACAAGCATTTTTATCATCCTACCAAAAAACAATCATAGTATATTAGGATTAGGATTTTAACAACCAAACTGATATTATTATTAAGGATTTTTACATCTAAAAAGGCTAAAAGGAGTAATTTTATTTAAATTGGTAGATTTTGCTAGAGAAAACCATAAAAAAATTCATCCTATTATCGCTTAATGTTCAAAAAAAATCATTATGTTATTATTATGTACAATAAAACCATTTTATTTTCTAATCATACCAAATATAATTCTTTGTAACAGACAAATCCTTGATAGCTTGGCTGTAGAAAGATATAACATATCATCATCTAATGCACAGAAAACCATTATGTTATTAATTTGTACAATAAAACCATTTATGTAATGATTTTGTATAATAAAACTATTTTATGTTCGGGTTTTATACAATAAAACCTTTTGTATTCCCTTTATGCCTTATATTTTTCTTTTGAGAAAGTATACTACTATACTTTGATAAATTTTCCATTTATTCCACAAATGAAACATAAGCCATAGTATATCTTTAGATTTCTAGCCCGTTGAAGCTCTTAGTTAATGCATCACTAATCATACATGTACTTTATTTATTGAATCAATTAGACATTTACTAATTATCATGGTATTAAGGGTTTCCTAGTTAACCCCCCTCCAAAAATATATCTCTTCCCTCTTTGACATTTTTCTCTCTCTATTTTTGGTATTCTTTCTGTCGTCATCTCCTTCTTCCACCACAATGATTTTGCTATGACCGACCCTCATGAGCTACACTTTCATTCCATGAGACGCATCATGCGTTACATATAAGGTACTTTTGATCATGCTCTTCAGCTTTATATAAGGTACTCTTGTTGTTCCACATCAATATATTTTTATCTTTCTAGCACCCCTTTCCCGAGTTCAATTTAAGGAGAGAAAAGAAAGGAAATTGGTGGAAGTGAGAGGAAAGTAAAAGAAATTGGTGTTCCCGAATTTCATTAAAGGAAGGAAGTGGAAGGAAATGAAATGATCACGTTCCCTTCTAACTTTCCTTCCGATTTGGAAGGATTTGGAGAGAAAGAACAAAATGTTTAACTTTCCTTCCACTCATCTCCAACTCGGGAACACAAAAGATAAATTTCTTTTCTTTTCTTTTCTCTTCTTTTCTTTCATTACTTTCTTTTCTCTTCTCTTATTTTCTTTGTTACAACTCGGGAACGTGGTGTAGGTGACAACATCATCTCTCATTCATCTAAGTACCAAAGTGTTATTTCTCGTTCTAATGTCGAAGTTGAATACCATAAGTAATGCAATTGTCAATCAGTGTTGGATTTTCAATATCCTCAACAAACTCCATTCAGGCCACCATTTCCTATTGTGTCAACTTCAGTGTCATATACTTGAATTTGATTCATGTACAACATCAATGCATAAACCATAACAAGATTGACATTTTTTTAGGATCAAGTAGCCTAACATGTACTTCATTTGTAGAATCAATGCAAAATCTACCAATTATCATTTACGAAGAAAAAAATCAGGGCATAAAGGGGAAGATACTTGTTTTATTGTATAAAATCAAGACATAAAATTGTTTTATTGTACAAAATCAAAAAATAAAATAGTTTTACCGTACAAACGATATAATGATGGGTTCTTTTGTGCACCGGATGATAATAATCTGAGTTTTTCTAAAGCCACAATTGCTAGGTAACCGACTATTAAGGTTTTTCCGATTACGAAACATTAATTTAGGTATGATAAAAAATGGTTTTATTGTACAAAATAATTATATAATGGTTTTCTCGGATACTAAAATGAAAATGTTGAATTTTTCTGGTTTGTTTATTCTATATATCTTTGAGGGGCCACCGACCCAAATATATTTGGATCCTTCCTAATAAAGTTTATGGTCTACAAATCGTGTTTTTCACTTTATTTTGTAACTAAGTGCATGAGTTTTTTTTTTTTTTTTTTTAAGCAAAAAGTCGGTGAGTTTGTTGAAGAAAATGCAAAGAATTATATTTTTTTAGAAAACATTTATAACAAACACCAAGTTATCTAAATTAGTTATAAAAAGTGACAATCAAAAGACCTTTGACCTAATATTATCAAATTGTGATGAAAATGTGTCTCTTTCCCAAGTAATTGAGAGTTCATCGTGTTGGACAAATATATAGATTCAAAAATAGGTTTAGTGTGTGTTTGCCATTATAGAAAAATATTATATAATGTACTCAAATTGATGGTTATTTTCATAAATAAAAACATAAAACGCGGAAACGTAACTTTGGATTTTTATCTCGAATCTGATTAAAAGAAAACTTTAGGATGAAAGAACGATTACATACCTGTTTCATTATGATATTTGGATCTGAAGAACTGGGTTGAATTTTCCAGTTGATCTCAAGACTCTCTGTAAAATCCCCTAGCATAGAGACCCACAAATTTCTTAATGTATTTTTCGTATATCTTGATCTGCTCCTCATCACATGTATATATAGATGAAGATATACCCTAATGTGAGAGATGGAAAGGATCTTGAGGACCTTGAGTCAAACCGAGTACTCAACCCACAAGGTAAGTAAATATTCTATAAATCGGTCCATAAACAATTTATATTTCTACCATAATAACTGGATTTAATGATAATATTACTTATATATGATGTGGTCCCATAACTATCTAACAATCTCCCG